GTTTTACCATCATTTCCCCAATGATCATACGGTTTTCGTAACCCATGGGAAATACAAATGTGTGCTGTCCCATCCCATCTCATGGGACGTTTACCATGGACAAGCCTGGTGTTACTACAGTATCCTTGGATATTTACTGAAATAGGATTTTTTCATGAATACTAAATCATATTTAGAAGAACATTTGTTTCTTTATTATGGCTTAACACAAGAAAAAATTATGGTGGCGCATTTCCTAATGTAGTTCAGTCGCTTCCAGCTGGGCCATTTGCCAAAAAGATATCTGTATTATACGTGTCAATATAAGCTTTGATATTCCAATGGTACGAATGTTGATTTCCGTATATGAAAAGCTCTTGTATTTTAAATTGTAAACGATTTTGTTCATTTGTCAGATTTTATATACTAATCACACTTCAAGTTGAGAAAAAGAAGGTTTATAACAATTGTTTTCTCTCAAAATACTAAACTTCAGTATAGCAAAGGTTTCATTATTGGTTTACAATTCATTATGTCAACCAAACGTGAAAAAATACGTATTCATATCTTCGATCGATCAATCAGGATCGGGCAGAAATGATTTTCAAAGGCATAAAGTAATATGAATGACTGAACTTATTCATTTGAATTTAAAACCCTGTGGTTAATTGCGCTTTAACTCTGCAACTATTGCTTAATATTGAATCAAAGATTTTAACGGTAAGAAGTTTATTAAAACCAATACAGTGGAATATCATCCATTTGAAAAGCAAAAAAAATCATTCTTTAACTGATAGGTTTTCTTGCCTACGAGAACACGTTCATGGAGATTAATGAATACATCTCATCTTTGGATATGATAAAACAAAATGAAATTTTGACGTGAAAAATTGTTCTGAATGTGGCTTACGGAAGGTGACCTTATATCAGTGAAAATATTTGTTTTTCGGTTATATTGCCAAATTGAAAGGCCCACATTTGTTGAAGACCGTCGCTTTAGTCACTTCGTAGGAAGCCCTGACTTTAGGCTATATACAGTCGCCAAAATTGCTTTGTATTCTCTACTAAAAAGCAACTGAACATTTTTAACACTGTCGGTCGGTTTTGAAGCTTGATCAACATGCCCTAATAATAACTTTACTGCAATGCGTAATCTTCTTCGCCTTAAATATCAAGCTTGCCATATATTGCTCTTCATTTGTCACACAACCTGGAATCCAATTCAACAACTGTATGTGAGCGCAAATGTTCGTAAACATACAGATAATAAATATAGGCCTTTCATTGAGAATACGTGAATGAAAAAATTTCGACTGAACGAACTCTAACTCCAGCTGCCTATCTGATATCAGTATTGAATTCAGTTAGATCATTTACCTCCACCGTATATTTGAACTGTATATTTAAAGAAATGTGATTACTTGTTGTTCTTAGCAATGATGACTAGTCAGCTAAGTCATCAACTTACGCTAAACTTGACCGCAGGGCAAAAAAAAGGTGCGGCTTGTATATTCAGGTGCGCCAATTCCCGTATTCCAGCTCTTATAATGTTATGTATATATAATCGCATTACAACATTCAATATCGAATGTTACAAGATCGTTTTTGTTGTGTTCTAACGCAGACTCAACCCCGATACATATTATCGACAATATAAATATCTCTTTATTATATTTCATTTCAAGTACAATTAATAGAACAAGAAGTATGAAGTGTTTTTAAAAGTATGAAACCTTTGACATGCGTCGAGATTTGGAAATATGTGGATGCTTTACAGAATAAAAAGATAAGAAATGAGAGCGGAAATATACGTCTCTCGTGGACCTTCTTCTACAAGATGATAGAAAGAGGTTGGCGGTCATCATGGAAGATATGTGTCGGGTATATTTACGGGAGAATTTGTCGGGCAATATACCTCAGTCATTCAAAAGCAATTCCATGCGGATAAAATTGAGTGGCATAATTAAAACAATATTAACATTAGCTCTTTTACACGTGGTCGGCAAAATTATTCAAGTGGGGTCCAAATAGTAAAATGAAAATTGTTTCAAGACCCAACAACAAATTGCACATTTGATATGGTTGATCCAGTTGCATCTGAGACTGTCAAACGTTTTCTTTATATATATGGGGTTAGTCGAGAAACAGTTGCTCAGCGGTTTTGATCACAATTGTTTCATAAATTTCCCCTCCGTAGATGTTTTTTAGTGTTTTGCAATTTCCCAATATATAATTTATGAAAAATGCTAAGTGGCTCTGCATGTTTGCTCTGCGATTAGAACAAGAATTGTTGCTGAGTTAATGAATTTTGTGAATACTCAAACATTTCCTCTTGCGCATCGGTGCCAATGGGATATTTTTCGTCCTATTCTTTCTGGTTTGTTGAAGAAGGACGTTCTCATTTTGATACTCCCGTAGTGTGTGCACTAGGTTAGGGTTAGGCCATAATTTTATTCCGAGTTTCCTTGTTTTAGTTTTTAGTTTTATTACGATTTTGGTGACTGTCTGTATTAGCCAGGTGAATAAACCCTCTGCCCATAGGTTTCAGTCCCTTTACACAACTTGATGTAAAGCGCGCGAACAAAATTAGTTACTCCATATTGATACACACACTCCTGGAGCGCCGTAATTTCCACTCTTTTTGCCGATATTGGCTTATTGCGAATGACATAAATGCAGCATTCATTATCTCTATCTGTATGGAAATATTTCTTTTCTCATTCATTATTAAATTTTCGTTAACCTTTTCTCTTTTTATGGCTGCCTTTCAATTTGTAATTATAACTAGTGCGAACGTACCGGTACGTGTGGCGATACCAAGATTGAACAACCGAACGTATAGCGTACACGCCGTTAGCTTGCGCGATTTTGATGACGCGATAAAATACCCGGATACGCAAGAATGAACAGTCCAGAATAGTTACAATGCCGGTACTATAGTTGAAATGAACGTCATGTATGATTCATGTCGTCTTGGATGTTGGAATATGATATACAGGCTTGTCCATGGGACATATATTTCTGTCCCATTCCCATCCCATAGCAATTATGCCTGTCCCATTTCATGGGATTTTCATTGGAATAAAATTCAATAAAAATTGTTAAATTTAGGTTTATCATCTACTAAATAGGACTACATGTACGAATAGACATGCAAAACAACCATCATCCCCTCCACGAAGTATATTATTAATGCTGAATATATTTGGGTCTTTATAAATAACAAGACAATTATGCTCAAATATATGGACACGAAGTACATAAAGAAATGTTTTACCATCATTTCCCCGAAAATCCTACGGATTTCGTGTCCCATGGGAAATATAAATGTGTGCTGTCACATCCCATGGGACGTTTCCCATGGACAAGCCTGATGGTTTATTGAAAAAAAATCTATTTCAGTAAAAATCTAGTTGATATGAGAGTCTGTGCCATTTCATTCACTTTTGTTTCATGTTATTACGCTTTTACTGCTAACGAACTTGCATGCTAACGTGATATTCTGACTACCGGTAGTTGAGTAAAGTATCCTATGACTTATAACGATATGTCAGATAAAACAGTCCTACAACTTGACAAAACTATACGACCGCCGCGGTCGACGCACAGCTTTTACAGGCTGCGCCGCGTTGGCAGAATGTCACGGTCTAGGGAGAGTGGCGCATTCGGAAACACCACGCCCATTAAGGCTGTAATGAACGATTACCACAAATCCTTGCCATATTTATCATAAAATTTCTTCTCTTGTGACTACCCAAGTTAGGCTAAGGTCAAAATTTCAGGTACAAATACTACGGTCATTTGGCTAGTCCCCAAACACCCCATAATAGAACTAAAATTAGGAAATTTGCAATGAAATTAGCCCTAACCCTTACCTGGTACACATACTATGTTCAGGTGTCCTCCATTTTGGTTCACATACTTCAGGAGTACCGTTTTGTCTATGCCACTATTATTTTATCCGCGTGGGATAGCGGACGGATTCAAATGAATAAAGTCTGTTGGACACAAAGTGGACCTATACGGATGGTTTTGTTTCTATTCGGGTTTCACTCGTTGTTGTTTTTGCAGGTTGAAGAAAATTGCCGGACCTCCTGAAGTATGCGTACCAGGTTTACCAGGTTAGGGTTCAGGTTATGCGACATTTTGATGCGCATATTTCAGGAGCACCAAATTGCCTTAGCAATCAATGATGATGATCAATGATTTCAACTTTTTATTACTTAAAGATGGACGAAACCGCTATAAGGCTTTTTCTTATAGTGTTAATTTTTTAATCAATAAAGGAGGACACTCTTTCACTAGGTCACGCGTTACCGTCTCCATCGTGTTTTTCCATCGGTCTTTTCACCGACCATTGTGCGGCATTCGTGTTTATAATTTTGTCCATATCAGACAATTGTTTGCTCATCATGATTTGCAAAGACGATGGTAGTGGTGCCTTTGCTATCTAACTATAATGGGATGATTGTAGGGTATTCAGAAGCCCTCGGGAAGTAAACGAGAAAGTAGATCTCGCATAACACCCCATTTTGGGAGATTACGCGATGCCAAGTGAGACATTTAATTTGCTTTTTTTTTTAAATTGACATAACCAAAAATTTTACGGATATTCCAATAGCTAATCTTTCGGCGTGCGTACTATTAAACACCATATATTCATTTACTCCGAAAGAAAATCAAATTATCCTCTCGGGAAACATTCAACATTACGGTCTGTTACACATTGCAAAGTTACCTAAATATTTCAACTTAATCTTTATTTGGAACGAGTAGGCCCATCGGAGAAACAAATCTTATTCGGAGATTATCTTCCCTATATAATGTTTGTTCCTAATTGGTGAGGTTTACGATTACAACAATCTATTCGAATAAACAACATTTATAAATAAGTGACCGATTTGAGAGGATAAATCCGAATTTAATTGAATGGCTTGCTATCCCGTTGATTATCATGATTACAAAATGAGTACACAAGATCATCAAAGTTATGCCCCTTCTAGAAAGGAAGAACATACCGGTCAAGTAACTGCGATGTGTATTCACTGAGGCAAAGAATGGTTAATCGATTTTAAATACTTAACCGTTGCAATTGATTTTGACCATTAACTGTCATCCCGGGTACTGCTCTTCAGAAGATTGCATTCAACTAGTAAATATTATTTCGCATATTTATATCATGTCATGTCAATGATATTTATCAAAACATTCTTTGTTGTCTTTATAATAAAACCAATCTCTAACGGAAACTGCAGGTCGATAAGAAACGTCGTCATCGAATAAAGGGCGCGGATGATTTTCTGGATCAAAATTAGGATTGTAAATATCGTCAAAGTTAATTCCGTACAAAGCTCTGCATAGTTGACAAATACGACCAATGCTTTTGCAACCAGGGACCCTATCTGGATCCATATTGTGCCACCTGTAATGTAATTTGAATGTTAATTACAGGCATGTACCACATATTATAGTATATAATCTCAGCTTTGATTTAAATTTGGAATGAAAAACTGACAAATCTGAATCTTTAATGCTTGTAGCAACATGAGATACTTCAAAAACGTGGATACTAATGTACAATGTGGAAAGAAAAACTCACTGGAAGTACTCCAAGTAGGCAGTGTCGTTTTGATCTAGATATCTTAAATATTCAATAAGTTTATTCGATGTCTCGAAATCTTCTGCATAGATGAAAGATCCAGCTGGTGCAAACGCTAGATAATCTTCTTTGGTTGCTCCCCATACTACTGGAACAGTATACGAATGAAATGCGTTTTTGAAGAACTTTTCAGTAATATAGTCTTTACAGTGATACGAATTTTCAAACGAAAAATAAAATTTGTAAGACCGGATCGCGCGAAAAAATTCTTGTGAATCTCGTTTTGCTCCATCCGCAAATTTTCCCTGTTTAGGGAAGCACCCGCCGTATCCTTCCAATTCGTAACCTTTTGCGATGATTTGTTTTATTAACCTTATTCTTTGTTTTGCAACTGAATGCTGAGCACAATCTGAAACTACAGCAAGAGATTTTTTCGTTTTCAATTTGAGTAATTTTTCTGGCTTCGGGACATTCGTGCTTTTGACGATTGCCATGACAGCGTTGGCTGAATACAGTTTGTCAGGAAAGTCTGAATCCCTTCTATAAAAAGAAATGCGTATAATAGCATCAAAGTTAACAACCCCATGTTTATCTAAACATCTATTGTTTTGGGCGATTTAAACTATGCTGCTGTCACGGTATAAAAATAATGCGTAATTTAAATATTCATTGTTTTCTCCATATCCAGAATTCAATACGTAAAGAGCAGATTGGAAATGCTGGAGACAAATAGATACAAGTATTATACTACATTTTTCGTCTCGGTATTGCTTGCATTGCTACTTGTTTAGAGAAATAACCACTATGTAAATAATGGGGGAGAAAACAATGTGAGCCTACTTAAAGGTTGCAAATGAGCAACAGTATTTGAAATGCACTATTTCAAAAGCCTATTATATCTAATTCAGCAGCAGTAATTTATACTTACTATAATTACATTTTACAATTGAATCTTCGAAGAAGAATGGGATATAATAAATGATAAAGTTGATAAACTTTTCAGAATAATTCAAACAAGCGCATATTTGCTCATAATGAAAGTTTCCGATATTTTATCGTCTTTTGTCTATTGTGAAAACTCTGTTTGCTGCTGGTTGTATGCTTCCATTCACGAAATAAAACCGTATATGAGTATTGTACAAAAACATACCTATAAGTCATTGTTGCGTTAAATCCATATTCATCCTCGTAGTGCAGATTTTTGTGGTATTTGAATCGAACGGAGGCGGACGATTCCAGAGTCCAGTATACATATAAATGGTTGGGATTCCTAAATGACCAGAAGTCTTAATGTAAAGGATTCATAATATAGTAATTAACTTCAAACCAAAGAGTATTTGATGGAAAAATCATGATAGAAAATCTAATATTGATTTCAACATAATTTGATTACCCTTTACCTTATGTTTAACGCATGATTTCTCCGTCGACAGAAAAGCAAATTATAATACTAATCCTTTTTAAGAGTCTTCCTGCACACTAACACAAATTATTCCTGTAACGTTACAGAAATATATTTGTGTTAGTGTGCAGCAAGACTCTTGAATCACTTAGGATTGTTATCTCTACTTTTGCTACATCATCCTTGCATTATATGCATACGGATCCACCGGCACAAAAACATAGAAGAAGGATAAGTAGTTAGTCTCGCAGAAACCAAATCAATAATCCTTTTACAATATGTAAAAAAAAATAAAGATTCTAAAATCTATCATCTCTTGGAAATTTGCCCTAACCGCAATTATAAAGTTCAGTTTAGTTCTATGTATTTTCAATTTTCCAATTTCAGTCAAAAATAATGGATTTTCAGTTCGATGGGTGACCCTACTTTCGAGGGATAAAAAGTAGTTCTCTAAAATCTAAATCAAGGATTTATAGTTTTCCTTATGCAGACCACTTGATCTGATTTCAATCTACAATAAATCATTCCTTGTCATATCGGAACTGTGAAAGTCATTCACACATCGTTATTTCCAATATAAAATATCTTGAGATCCACAATATAGGCCGCCCGCGTGAGTTGCTTTGTGCATTGATATACTAATAATGTGGTCTGGCAGCAGAATGGTCTGTCGTCACCTAGCATGGTATTCATTTCTGGATTTACTTCTTACCTTGACATAAGCGGCGGCATATTTTCTGGTGTAGTGCCAGTAAAGTAGACAACGACTGCAGCTGTTTTATTATCAGATATCTGAAATATATTAATAAAAATGAAAACTGAACAGTGCTCAATAAACTTAATACAAGTGCGGACACATTTTGGTATTACATCTTGCAGACTATTCACTGTTAATTTTAAACTATTTATTTGAGATCAAAACTAAAGGAAAAGGCGATGTGCTCACCAGTGTTCTATTGAAAGTTATTTCGCAATTTCCACATACTTCGCGATTTACTCCACCTCCTAGAGGTATACCTGTTGTCCATATTACGATGATCTGAGAAATAGAAGGTGTCACCTTATATTAATCATTGTATATGGAAATATTAACCTTGTTTTATAGCTTCAATCAAAATATGTAATAAATCACTGCATGAAATAAAAATGACAATTTCGATAACCTTTATCTCATGTGAGGGAGTGGAGATCATATCATTATGATGAACCAAAAGATGATACTGAACATGAAACGCGTTAAGCAATTATAATATACTCACTGTAAAAAGCATCATTACCCAAAATATTGTTTAATTTTGGAATAGTTAGATGGTCGTGTATCGAGTTAGGCAACATGTGTACATATATATAACACCTCGTAAGCTTCCAAATACGAATGTCTCAACCTCATCATGTACAAAAATACAGCAATACAAGCGACTACTATACTATACAGAATTAATAAACAGGAATTATAGGTGTATATAACCTTCTTATCTGTCGCTTGTTTGAGTCTTTCTTTGAGTTTATTTTGCAATGCAGTAATGTTGATAGCTGTTCCGTCTTTTTTAGGCCACTGCTGTGTGTATTCACTTTGCAACGTGGAATTAAATTCCGTTGAATCAACCCCCATGGCAAAATATTCCGAGTAATTTTCGTACAAACAATTTCTCGACACAACCAATGTCCAAATCACCACCGCGAGTGAAAGGGCTATAAAAACAAACAACTGAACTGGAAGATTCTTGGGGTTTGACTGCATTGCCAGGGATAATAGCAATTCTGAAGTTTTGTTTCAAAGTTTTTTATTCTGATCAGACTATCACTATTCATCGCTTCAAGTTCAATCTCAACGATTTGTTCTCATTCCATAGAAAAAACTGAATAATAATTCTTGTAATATAACTACGCTGCCTGTAACAAAAGAATCAGTTAGAATTTTGTTAGCGTTACCTGCGCGGATGTATTGCTTGCAACCAAATTATCGAAATGTAGCCTAATTGTATCGTAACTACGCTACGTGTAAACAAAAAGATTTGTTAGAATTTTTGTTGAATTATCTGCGCGGATGTACAGCTTATAACCAAAAAATCATAATGTAGTCTAATATTAGCTGACAAAGCTTTGTAAGTCTCACATATTGATCAAGCTATATACAAAAGCCGGACTGAAAGCGATCGATATGCGCCACTGCGTACTAGCCTGGTTGCTTTGTGACAACCGTTTCCTATTTGACAGTTTATCAACGCGCGATCCGTCCTGTATAATTATGCATACCACGTACGCGAGTCAGACTTTTCATAAATTCATAATTGACAAACGACTTACTTCAAAATTTCATTTGCCATTTGAGTCTAATGGCTTCAATATAAATACTTAGGGCCACTTAAGAAATCCGGAGTATTCGAAATCAGTTTCTTCGGGCGTACTTGAATACTTCATGCTTTGGATAGCGTTTACATAAGAGATGCTTAAAAATGTATTGAGGAAATGAGTCTTTTCCTCTTCATGTAACCCTCCCGCGTAATTATGAGCATATATTATTTACAATGTCCAGAGCAAAGCAAGAAATACCTATTCAAAACTCGATCAAAGCACGAGAGCACAAACCACGAAAGAATTATCGTTCGCTTTTATCGAAGTTACACTCCAATGAATACGATAGTAAAAATATCCGAGCGTCAACAGTCTGTAACAAGAATTGGAATTCTTGAAAAGCAAACGGATGGGTTTCTCGTTGCTTCCGCGGAAACAATATTAAATATATAACCTTTCAATGTATCTTTAGTCTCCGATTCATTAACACGTTCTGTCAAATGTTTCGTTTATATTAAGCAAATTTAAAGCACAAACTCATAAGCAAAGAATAAGCTTGTTTCAGAAAATGTAAAACATGAATAAGATCAAACTACGAATTACTAGATTCACCGCCGTAATCGCGTGAACGAGTATTAATAACGGCTTTCACTATTTACTGTTTCTATCCTTTTGAACAAATTCAGCTGGTAAACTGATCTTATATCACTCATATGTTGGCAAACCTGTAAGATACCCATGAAATAATTTTAACTACAACAACAATTTTACAAATTGATATGTGTGTAAACTTTGTGTCAAAAAAGCAAATTAACGCACGAGTGATTGAATTTTATAATTTACCTTTCTCGATAAAAATATAGTGTTTTCGAATAAACCACCCTTTCGTTATATATTTTGCTGTGATTTATTTTATAAAACCTTATCCCTTCATCACATTTTCACTATTCGAGGGTATTTTTGAGTCTTGTCCGTGGGAACTGGATTCCGATGGGAATTGCAATTATTTTATCTAATATTTTTACTCTCTCTTTTTTCATTATATACTTGTAAATATTGTTTATTCTGTTCACAAAGTACTGCAACCAAACTCACAACCATTAGCTTATTAGAATGATGACCACCGGTTTCCACTGCTAGAAGCTGATGCGAAAATTGTTTTGCCCCACCTGTGTCATCGTCAGCAGCAGTAGAGTAAGATACGGAAACGAGAGTTAACTGTTCTTGTTCTAAACTCTGCGTACATCAGATTGCATGTAACATGAAAGGAAGAAAGTAAATGGTTCAGTCGGATTACCCGATATATATAACTGAATTATTAGAAACAGTCTATGAGCAGAAAATTGATAATTGAATAGTATAAGAATGCCAGAAGTATGGTGAATTGTCATAGTTAGACAATACTTCTGACTTTTAAAGTTAACGAAGTCAAAACATTTTGTCGTTTTGCATGTCTCTCTGTGTGTACGTTCAATATGGGCTGGCATAAAATGGGACAGTCATAAATTTCTATGGGATGGCAAGGAACAGGGAATATGTCCAATGAACAATGGTATTTTCAATGAAATTTCACGTTTTAATGTAAAGAATAAAATCGTGATTATGACGTCACAGATGAATGCTGATTTTTGTTTAGAAATGCATCTTGCATTTTAAATTGGATTTTATTTCATTAATTTACCGAAACCCATATGCTGCTAAACTAATACTAAAGAAGATGGAAGATTTCAAAGATCGACTGAGACGAGAAACTGAATCACTTTTTAAAACGATTTTCCCGTCCAAATGCGAGAAGTTCCATAAATTGGTTTATGATCCAATGTTGGGACCAGATGCAATGCTGGCTATTAATATTACCGTAAATGAAAGCTGTAAAGCACTGAGAGAAGAAATAAAACAACGGGAGGAAGAAAGTAAAAAGATAAAAGATCGGTTTTACACCCCAGCTCAATCGGACAGCGAACTTGACGATTCCAGCGAAAGATGTCGAAAATTGAAGAGGAAGTTGAAACAAGATCGAGACGACGACGAAGAAAAAGAAGATATTGATCTTAGCAATATGGAATGTAACAAACATATAAGTAAGATAATTGACGTTCTCAAACCGGAAGTTAGAGAGTTAATTGAAAGTTGCAATACTGTGAAAACCTGGGTGCAACTTCAGATACCTGAGATTCAAGATGGAAATAATTTTGGAGTCGAAGTTCAGGAAGAAATCTTAGAAGAAGTGAGAAAAGTTGAGGACGATTGCAACACATTTTTGAAAACTATTTCTGTATACCATTTGACTCGAGCAGAAATGGTTTCCAAATTTATAAAATTTCCAAGTGTCGATGATTACGTTTGTTCGTTGGAACAGCTTGATGCAAAAGAGTTCGTGACATTGAGATTGATTGCCCTAGAACTCCGCAACTATTGTCTCGGATTACTGGATCTTTTTGAAAAAAATATGGAGAAGATTTTAACGCCGAGGGGAATAAATAACGTCCATATGTTGGTTTATTGATGCATTCGCTTGAAAACTAATACAGAGTATTTAAAATAATAAATTCTGCTTTTATCGTTGTTACGCTCATATACGCTTTTGTCATCTCTAGGTTGAAATTGGCGACGGAAGCCAACTGATGTTGTATCGCGCCATTTGTAAATCAAGTTGAATTATTTAAAACTGAATTTCCATCAGTGACTCAAAATTAAATTTTATTACTCAATTCATAAAATTTCCTCTTTCTATCTATTACTGCACGTCTATATTAAATTTTTATTGAATTTGCAAGTTATGAAATCAATGCAGTATAATTTGAATCCTACTGCACAAAAATTTTACGTAACGTTTCAAAAATCTCATTTCACACCTAATCAAACAACATCAAAATCGGCAGTTCAAATCATTTTGTGGATATTTAAAATCATGTTATAACTTTCGTAGCGCGCATTTTGAAAATTTAATGATGTCTATGAACTTGAAATTCCTTCCAGGTACAGAAATGAATAAATAAATATATTTTCGAGTTTACCAAACTAATATTGTAATAAAAACGACATACCGATTCGGATCGCATATGACATTACTCAGATTGCTGCAACGCAAGATCAAATTTTATATTTACTTTTGAGGAATCGTTTATTCGGCGCCAACGAATGGTAATACATAAAAGTACTGAGAAGTTTACATTATATCTTCTACTACATTACAACTGTATAAATATGTTAACACTATCTGCGGGTTGTAAATCGTAATGAACATGTGTTTCCACCGAGTTTACAAATAAACTGCAATGCCTAATCCTGACCCCGTTCCAATTTATAAATACCAATCTAGCAATATACTGCTCAATGCTTAATCCTCATCCTGTTCCAATTCATAAATATCCAGCTAGCCATATATTGCTCTGCATTCCGGGAAACACAATTAGGACCATTGACTGTTGGTTCTGGTTTCTGTACAGACTGCCCAGTGAGATTCAGACAGAAAAAGCAACTCGGTCGTAACTTTCAGCTGTGGAATTGAAAGAAACATGATGACTACTCTTTACTACTTGTGTTTTTATTTAAACTTTGTGTCACTAATATGGTTCAGTATAATGACATATCGTTACTTAGTCGTGGTTGGTAGACAATGATGCAAACAGTCGAAGCGATTTATTAGATTAAATGTGTTAACTTTTAGTGACAGAAAGAACGTCAATGAAATGTCATCACAACAAAACATAGGATTAACTGTCTTGTTGAGATGAGCCTCAGCAGTCAGGAAATAAATGACTGAGTTTTAAGCCACGCAGTAGTAGAAAATATTATTCTTTGACTTTGTGCGAAAAATAGTAGAATAAAGCCTATTTTTCAAATTCAAAAATTCGGCTTCAAATCTAGAAGTTAAGTATGAATAGACTAATCAAAAAACTAAATACTAACTACACTTACAGTCTTGATATGCAAATATGTATTGAATATTTGTTTTTGCACAAATTTCTAATTACATTTCGGAGTCAAATACAACCATGTTCTCATTACTGCTTTTGTCGGGAATGCTGGCAAGTACCTTTTTACAGTCAACGTGCCATCGGATGTGTTTGAATTACGAGTCTCCGACGTTGTGAGTGGATTTTTTATTTAAATTGCACTATTGGGATAGATATGTTTCAATAGTTTTTTGTCGACATCGACGTCAACAAGTTTTTGTCAAAGTTTTAACAAATCGAATTTCATGGAAATCAATGCAAAAAATACCACGCGTTTGCCAAACATATAGACTGTTCTCGTAAGATTTCATCACAACAACATGCTGTAAGAATTCGAAATAGTTTTTATACTGTGAAGTGTTGAATCAGACACCTAAAAATGATACAGAATCCGCACAATTTCCATGAGCTTATAATCAAGAACCATTCTTTCCTAAAACAAAGTCCTGACTTTCTGCTTCAGCCAAACGTGTACTCGACTTATCGCTAAATGCCTCATAACGAAAATATTATTTTAAATAGGTAATATATCAAAAGTATAATTAATAAAACGTTTTTTTATTTTTCAAAGTATGGATGAAACGTTTGACCTGTGTCGAGATTTTCAAAAGTTTGGTTGCTGTACGAAACAAAAAGATAAGGAGTTGCATAAAAAATTTACTGCACTCGTGGACTTTCTCCCACAAGAAAATAAAACAGAGTGTTCCGATGTAGTCAGGGATCTAATGTGTCAGGTATATATAAATGAAACAATTTCTATTCAATCAGGTTTTGCTGATGTTTGTTTACATCACAGGCCAGATATAACATGCTGCGCAATAAGTTCAAACGGTTGCTGCCAACGTGTAAGATACTTAAAATAACTAGAAAAAAAGGGAAATACGATAATTTGAAGAGAAACTCAAATATTTAATTTGTCATCCAAACCACTAAAAATTATTTGCCGAATGAATATTGTCAATGGAATATGATATAATTGATAATTTTATTCCCACACGATTCGAAAATGTATATACACTTACATTTAGTGGCATATTTCGAATCCATTTCAGGAATGTTCCGAATACTCAGCACACCAATATGATTTAGAAAAGAGTGGTACAATAACCAGTTTACCTGGTTTATGCTGGGAGTATTGTCAAAATATATTTGAACAATGTCGAGATGCGCTACAACTTTTGACTAGCGATGAAAATCTTCTTGAACATTTAAGAATGGGCGATAACAATAGGTTCTGCCGAGAGGTTGCATTAGAAGATAGATATTATTGTTATCCATTGGAAGACGAATATGCAGAGGGAAACTTGGATTTCTACGAACTACCAAATGAAAGTACAACCTTCCAATTTTGTTTTCAAACTCATTTAAATCATTCCCTGCGCCGAGATATTACTAACATAATATATATATATCAAAACAATTAAACAAATTGGTTGCTCATCATCAATATAGCTCACTCACTGAACACTGTTAAGTCCTTGGTAGTATCGTCTTTGCCTGATCCTGGGTGTGGAGTATTTAGCCTCTTTCAGAATGTAAAGATACGTAGTACACCTTTTATTCTTGACAGCTGATAATTCAAATACTGTATTCCTGATATATTTACTCACATAAAAACAATCAATATACCCACTGGTTGTAGCCCAGAGGATTGCAATTCAATTTGTCTAAAACATGAGCATTTCAAAATTCCATATTGTGCTGATAATAAATTGACCGAAACAAAGAAATGGAAACTTTTGTTAATTGTATGAACTGAAAAAATGTTAAGTTGTTTCCAAAAATATGAAAATAACTATAAATCAAGCAAGATTTTTACAAAATGAATTGAAGGTTCTAATTGCACATATGCGTACATAAGTTTTAGACTCTAATTGTACATGTGCGTACATGTAAGAAAACCCGTTTAATGCACGTATTTTTTAAAATATTTTCAGAACCCTGTACTCAACTTTGCGTAGAGGAAGTGGCCAACAAACTATACAGCCCTATTTCCATAAAACATGGCAAAGATAACACACAAAGGTGAAGTTTTAATGCCGGCAATCTATTTTTACATTAGATGTTTCCGATATGATGATGTCTAAATTAAACTCATTCCGCGTGATTTGACGCTCTAATTGACAGATCACAAACTCATATTTTACACTACTTGTTGTCACAGTTAATTATACCATTTTTTTTTTATTAGTTCTTTCGTGCTTCGAAATGCTGTTTGTTTGACAGGTGGGGTCTTTCACTGATAAAGCATCACTAGAACTAGTTTTTTTTCTTTTATAGACTTTTCATCGCTGAACAAATGGGTGTGGTATGGGTGTACCTTACTAACATGAGTAGAATCTTTCCACCATTCCTTAATAAGACATCTGATGTTGCGTGTAAAAAGAAGTAAGTGGAGTGATTCAATTTGAATTGTATTGTAACTTAAATGATGGCATTATTAGGTGAAATCGACTGGAACCACGACATTTGAATCAATAAATTTTGAAGATTTTTCTAGACATTTGGTGCGTCTCTTAATTATACAATAACATTTTAACAGTCATGTGAATAAACATCAATTGAGTCAATATTTCGTGATGCATTATAAAACCATGCTGTTATTTTTAGTGGATACGATGAACGTGGATTTCTCGACATTGAATTCCATCCGGAACATGCCAGCAATGGCTTGTTTTATATCTATTATTCCACCTTGATAAATTCTGAAAACTTCATTAGGATAAGTGAAATGAAGGTTGGTTTTCTTATCTTTTTGTTGCAATCTAATCTTTTTTAAAAGTGAAATTCGGCAGAGATTTAGTGGCGTTATCAGCGGAATATTTGCACTCGCAGAAATTTGCATCCATACGGACCTGAACCCAATTTTAGGTACTCATTAGTAGGTGTAGGCAATAATTTAGGTCCGATTTTCCCCATTTTAGTTCCATTGGGAGTTCGGGGACTGTCTGTGTTAGCCAAGTGAAGATACCTCCTATCCATAGGTTTCAGTCCCTTTACACAACTTGATGTAAAATAAGCGGACAAAATTAGTTCCTTTCATATTGGTACAAATATTTCTGGAGCGCCCCTCTTTATTTATTTCAAAACTTTCTGTGGGCTCCATTGGATTCGTTTTTTGTATGCGATTATCAAAAGTAAAAATTGCGCACCTTGTGGCGGTTCCGCTATCGCGATCTTGTGAGCAGGCAAAGTCGTGAAGACTTCGGTAGCGGTACCGATAGTCTCTGTGACAGATTGCATACACGTACTACTCTGTTTTGACTTTCGTGTCCATATATTTGTGCATCGCCCTTTTGTTTTCTTGAATGAATCAGTTTAATTTGAATCTACTTTTAGTTCATACAGTTATCTGTTACCCATACATTGTTTCCATGAATACAAATATTTCAAAGAACCTTCATCTGTGCAAATTGCCGATATGCTACCGTTGTCGTGTAGACTGTGGAGTAGACCACCGGTAGCGATGAAATGTCCTCATTTCTTCATTATATAAATATACTGTGACAACTTAATCTCACTTGATTTTATTTACCCGATTTTTTTCTATCACTGCGCTTCGTTGAAAACTTTTCATTGAACCACGTGAGAGCTAGGTCAAGTTATTTTCACGGTAGAAGCATCCTGGCTTCGAGTAATCCAGTTGAAGTGGTGAAGACCCCGTTCATCTGTGGTTTGAATGGCTCTTCAAAAATCTATAGTATGAGATATTATGTGGATAATTGGTAAAACTTTACGGTACTCAATGGGAATAAGACAGCGATGCTCAAATATACGGACACGTGCTCCTTACAAGACAAGATTTAATTGTCTACTTTTGCCTTTATTAGTCAATGTTCCAGAACAGTCATGTTCCTATTATATTCCATCATTTTTGTTAAATATTCTCTAATACTATTTCCTCCTAGCATCTCTATATATAACTTTTCCTACTCATAATTTAATTAACATATACGTGTAGTCCCACTATATATAGCTGTAGGAAATTCTCCACGTAGTTATCATCGTTTTGATTCATAATTTTAGTATGCAATTCTCTTAGTTGTATTTCTCATATAATCTCTCATTTTCATGAATTTTTGTTCTCAATTTGGTTTTTTAATTATTTATTTATACTAATATACTTTCCTAATTGTTTGACGTCATCTGCCGCTGAAAAATGGTGTCGCTCACTCTAATAGCCTTTTCGCGACTCCTCGTCCATTGCGGTTAGAAACTTGTACCTTTTTTCAATGAATTTATTCAATTTTTATATTTTGTTAATATGTAAGATGTTTGTTGCACGACGGAAATAAATATCTGAATCTGACGAAAACAAAAGCGAAGCAGTCGTCCACCTTACCTTTTACATTACCGGGACCGTCAAAAACTCCTTTCACGTAACACGACAGCGGTCAAAGAACCGCTAAAATTAATTTGTATTCATTTCAAGAGGTCAACACACAAAATTTCGAAAAGAACACGAATCACATCGAACCCACAACAAGTTTTGAAAATAAATAAAAATAAAACCTTTTCAGCAAAAAGTACAATCTTTAATCACTGAAAATTTCAAAGCAATTACTCAGGTAGTTAATCAAAAAAGCGATTTTTTCTTCATACGGTAACAACGAGAAAAAAATACCAACAAGAACAACAACATACTAACAAAACGTCCATTTCGTGTTCAATATCAGTAGTTCCATAAAAAAATCCTATTCTATTATTAGATATTATAACTTGGGTGTCGCTACTACATTCCTAGTTTTGTTTCCCCTTTATTAAGTAGAACTTTCTGATTATTTTTTTTCTCGAATATTGTATACAATCGATATTTTACTGGCTGTAAAAAATAAACTTGACTTCACATACTAAATACCAGACTGCGTTTTTAAACAAATCCATATCATTGCAGGTGTCAGCTTTCGATATTAATCAAGCCGATCCTGATTCCGAAAGAGTTATTTTGGAAGTTTGTCAACCATTTGAAAATCATAACGGCGGACAATTGTTATTTGGAAGCGACGGTTATCTTTATATTTTTGTTGGAGACGGTGGGCATGCCGGGGATCCGCGTGGATTTGCACAGAACAGGTATATTAATAGAGAAATAGTAATAAATTAGACTATATGATATGCATGGATAATATATAAGAACCCGAGAGTATCACGTAATTTGAAGTGTTCAACTTGATTGATTTATACTAAATTAATTTCAATGCCGAATTTTATTCGGATCTTTCTCCACATTAACAAACAAAATATATATGCTAATATTATATACATAATATTATATGCTGGAGAATATCGCGAGGGTATATATATATATATATGCAGTCTGCTTGTCAGTTGTCGTTTAAGACTTCAACAATATATTGCTCTGTGTCAACTTGTACTATAATGATAACAGAAAGAGAACACGCCAAACAATAGTCGAATGTTCTAGATTGGTAAATTTTATTTAAAATTCTTATTTTCGGAATATTTCAAATATCGCCAAATAATTCACATGGTAGTGTATAAAAAAGTTTTCTTGATAATACATCAGGTTATGTCTTTACAGGACCTCACTTCTTGGAAAAATACTACGCATTGATGTTAATTCGAATACAACCTTTCAAGATCGGCCCTATGCGATTCCCTCCGACAATCCATTCATTTCTGACTCGAACGTAGCTCCGGAAATATACGCCTATGGATTAAGAAATCCTTGGCGATGTTCAATAGATTCGAAAGGTAATGCAATTCGCTGTTATTCGATTTACTCTTTGGGAGACTCTTATTACCAGTCGTTCTGTTTGTCTGCCTTTATGCGTGTCTGTGGCGTCCAAACCAGCGGTGTGCAACAGGCGGCCCTCGTGCCACAACCCGTCCCGCCGAGTCATTTAGTGTGACCCTTGCCAGCACTCCCCATGAAGGATAAAATACTAATCTGACAGTTTATGTGGAAAAAGCAGCTCACATGGGTAAAAATACATTATGTTTTTGCTCTTGTCGCTGAGTCAAATGACCCTATAATAAAAAACCTATTTTTTCGTGTGGCATATAGCTAATGTCTGAAGTTGGCTATATGGCCCATTGACAAATAATGCTGCACATCCAATCTAAACCGTTGAACGGATCTGGATGAAATTTTTCGCGTCGATTATCCTGTCACTCCAGTGATTCCCATTTCACCGAAAGTTTGTATTAATGTTTCGTTTCCATGACAGCAACGAGAAAACGAACATATAGTCGAAAAATTTTCGTTTTTCTTACAATTTCTCGTCAAATTAGTCAAAAATTGAACTTTCAAAAAAACCACCCTCCGCGCAAGAAAATATTCTTTCGAACCAGTCGTCTTTCATCTCGATAGTCCCATAAATTGGGAGAGGATTGAGACTTTCAGTAACCATTCAATTATAAGCCACAACTTACTTTTAATAACGCAAGGATGTCGTCCAATAACATCTTTTCCATTACCTGCAAGTAGGCGTAATCAAGAACAGACGCGTACCTCAAGTATCAGTGGAGATCCATTTTTGGAGCCTACCGGCTTGTTTTGTCATTTATTGCCAAAATATATTCTACAAAATAATTTTGAATGCTTCTAATACTAAACAGAAAATGTTAGGGAGCATGTTGTGTGGTGCAGTGTTAATGTATACTACCACGAACGGTAGCTTAGCTACAACAATATTTCAACATACAAAACGAATCCTGCCGTCCTGCCATGCTTAGCGTTGTTCCTCGGGCTTCGCGAGTTTCTTGCGTGAAATATCTTATGCTCCTGTAATTGCAATGCGAATACATATTTTTGTCACACGATGGTCAAATCTTTTTGTACTTATAGAACTTACCAACGGACGTTACCCGGCTGTATATGCCGTTTCAAGTTCTTGGTTTGTTTGCATCATTCACCAGACCACTGCATCTTTCCTAAGGCTCAAAGTCATTGCAATTCAGCTATTGAAATTTTATTATTTCATCTTCTGCCAGACAGAATTATTTGCGGCGACGTCGGTCAAAATGCAATTGAAGAGGTAGATATCATCGTTAAGGGTGGAAATTATGGATGGAATGCTTTTGAAGCAGATGCATGCTACGATGAAAAAATATGTAAAGACCAAGTAATGATCGGTGAGAATCGACTGCAGAATTGAAACAAGTTTTGTGACTGCTTGCTGTTTTTTTCTTACGCCATAACTTATCAGAATACGCATTCGACGTTATCAATTATTCCCAATTATATTTGCTGGAGCATTTTGATATTTTAACGTCTATTGTTCCTATGTTTAAAACTGCTAAATTTATTGTATGCTGTAAATAAGATTTAACAACGCCCTTATACTGACAATAGCTATCAAATTGAATGCCCAGTCTGAAAACTATTAGGTTGACGACTAGTCATTTCTTCTACTGTATTTAGAATCCCATATTCCACCGATTTACTCCTACAATACATCAATTGGAAAATCAATCACGGGAGGTTATGTATACGAAGGATGTCGGAATCCTGGACTCAAAGACAAATACATACTTGGAGATTTCATGTCGGGGTAAAATATATGGTCAGACTGCAATAAATTTGAGTGAATCAGACTCAGACTATTAAACATGATATTTCACGAGGAAGATTTTATCTCACACGAGTCATTATCTACTAAGCTACGATGGAGATTGTACAAATAGCGTAACGCTTTCTAACTGGTAAGGAATTCACTCCCAGGAAGGAATTTGCTGTACTATCGCTGATATTCGTTAGTTCTTTATTATGCCATACTATGATATTTATGAACGCATTATAAATTCCCTGGACTGCGAAAAAGGGGAATATGATAACAAACGTTAGAGCCACTGACATATCGCTTTGATATAGATCCGATTACTGCTATTCAATTGAATTCCCTCGTTGTAAAATATTGCCATAATTTGTATTCTGTTTTAAATTTGCTTGTTCATATTTGTTGTAGGCGAATGATTATTCTGAAAGAAAATAAATTGGGAAAATGGAGACCTAGAAATGTATGTATGTCGAAAAAGATATGCCGACAACAGGGGAAGGCACACAAGTATCCTCGCCATATCCAGACCTTTGGCGAAGATGAATCTGGTAGGCATTTCGTTTAAATTTAAACTTTCGATATGCTCTTTTTATATATTATATCTAATTTTATCTACCATTATCGTGCATGCGGACACACGTATAATATCTCTACATTAGGACATCTTCTTTCACACACACATCTGATCAAATAAATCTATAAAATTTAATCAACTATGGAAACCGTCAAATAAAATTGCACGAATTCTATATATATATCGATACTGTGGATACTCATTTTACAGGAATCTTATAACTTTTGATTACAGGGGAAATTTACTTTGCTGCGACAATGAATCCGAAGCCCGGGCATCGGGGTGGAAGGGTTTATAGACTGTCACATGCCTACAAAACCAAAAACGCTGACGATTGCAAATCTACGGGAACTAGCCCAGTCTTACTATGGCAGGGAAGCAGCCTACAGGAATATCAACCGACACCAGGTAGTTTGGAAGTTATGTTGCACACTGCTACTATACTACGCACTACAAAAATTTCCGATTTTAAAAATTATTTGTGCCTTGCAGATAGAGAGGTAGAGACGCGATTGGTTGGAGCTGGACAGGGACGAATTGCCACAAAAGGACGAGTAGAAATCAGACCTCGCGGTAAGAAATGGAGCACCATATGTGGCAACAACTGGAATTTAAACAACGCCCACGTGATTTGTCGCATGTCTGGGTTTTTGAAGGCACGGGAATTTTCTTTCGCCGAGTTTGGTGCGGGTCGGGGTATGGTTAGGTTCGAACATCTAAATTGCAAAGGGGATGAAGAGCACATTGACGAATGTGAACATAGTGGGTGGAAAGCTGCTTCTTGTTCACATGAAGATGATGCCTCTGTATGGTGCGAAAGCTTTATATTCACTGAGGAGCCTCAGGCCAATGACTAACATGAGTCTTGACTCTGGTAACAATCGGAGTGATATATATATGTAATTTACATTGTAAATAATTGAACCATTTTAGAAATTTTACCTCATTTGAGATAATGTAATAAAGCCAGCTGCCATTAGGAACACAGTGTAGCAGAAATTTGTCCTACCTTTTCATTTGTCTTATCTTTTCTAAATGTACGTTGTTGCTAACATACTAGTCGTGGCCCTGAGGAAGGGTACAAATGTACGCGAATTTGCTGATTAAAATGCCATGAGTATAAATAACATGCTGGTAAATACGTAAATGGGTACAAAGTCATTGGAGCAAAATAAAACTAATTAGCTGCCATTGCAAAGAAACGTAAAACAGTAATCTTCACTTGTTAAAACACTCAGAATTATCTTCTTCATAAAACCATTGACTTAAATGATCTACTGTTCTTGGTGATACACTGTTTGTGAACATAGGACGTTTGGGGTTTGATGGATCGTATTTTGGATTGTACATGTCATCAATATTGATACCGTGCAGAGCTCGACATATTTGACAAAATCCCCTTGCTCTGTTATATTGTGGCATCTCACTTGGCGCCATGTTCACCCACCTTGAATTGAGAGAGGGAGAAAATTAAATTTAAACCGGGGAGTTAGCCGGGGATAAAAATATAGGGAGGGCTGGTATTTTCAAATTGAAGTTATCAAATGCATAGTTTTCCGGATTTCATTAACCAATTAGTATAATCCTAATGAATTCCAGTTATGGATATTATACATATATATCGGAAGGGTTACATGTGATAATTAATATTCACTCAATGTTCACTAACAATCCGGATCTGAATGTTATTTCAACGATGCCTGAATATACCATACTGAGATTAAGAAATGTCGTATGAACCGCAATCTAATACACAGTTAATAATCCCCTGTTTCATCTGCAAATTGCATTTACCTACGAAAGTTAAATTTTGCATATTGATTAATGACAACCGTACCTTAGGTATTCCATATATGCTGTGTCGTTTTGGTCTAAATAGTTCAGGTATGCAATTAGCTCTTCTGAAGAATTGAAGTCTTCCGCAAAGATAAAAGAACCGAGCGGTGCAACTGCCGCATAGTCTTCTTTTTTCGCACCCCACACTACGGGTACAGTTAACGAGTTGATAGCATTATTAAAAAACTTTTCCGTGATATAGTCTTTACAGTGGTATGAATTTTCGTACGAAAAATAAAACTTGTATTTACGTACTTCTTCCCAAAGCTTTGACCCTTTGTAAAATTTCCCCCCTTTGAAACACGCACCATAGCCGTCCACACGAGAGTTCAGTTTCATTATATCATTGAGCAAGTTTAATCGCCTTCTGGCTCCTGGAGTATATCCACAATTCGATACTATTGCAATTCCAAATTTAGTTTTCAAAGCAAGTAACTGATCAAATGTTAGTTTATTTTCTTGCAGTGTATCACTGATTAAACGTTTTCCTTCATAACTCCCATAGAAGTCCGAATCTCTTCTGCAACAAGATTTCATATTTTCAATTTCTTAATTTAAAGCATTAACATGTTCGTCACAAAACGTTATATTAGGTTTGTGAAAGATTATTAGCAAACAAACAAACCTTTACTTAAAAATGTATGTCATAGTTTCAACTTCTACTTAGGCTGGCTACCGGCTTGCATCAGTCATATGGAAATGATTTTAACGTTGATGACTGATTACACTCTAGCTATTGTACAACATTTTAGCATTTATATACGTAGATCGACAATTATTACATTAAAAGACAAAACGATGTGTTAAACAAATGTTTGCATCCAAGTTTACCTGTATGTGAAAGTTGCATTAAAAGGAAGAGATTCTTCAAACTGCAAGGAATGTCCTCTTACATTTCGTAATGTAGCTGTTGACTCAAAGTCCCAGTAAATATATAAATGTTTAGTATTCCTGAATAACAAAAACAGTCTTTCACTTAATAAAAAGATGAAGGATTACAAAAGTCGAATCTCATTAGACCCTTTTGTTGCAATATCGACCACCCATTAATAAGTCAAACTGTAAACCAGTCATACAAATTGCACGTTCGAGACTGTGTGAGTGATTTTCGCACCTATTATGTTTCATAATGCACCAGTACCATGATTTGTAAAGTTAGTCTACCAAACTGATATTCTTGTTTCGAACACATTTTTGTCAATAGACAGACAGAATCAAGGATTTATTTATAAATGAGAAAATTCAATAGAGCAAACCTTGTAGGTGGCATGTTCTTAGATGATATTGCATCAAAGTGAAATAGTAATGCTCCTGTATTTTCGTCTACAATCTGTTATTTTATAAGATTACAATCACAATATTAAATTATGAACAAATACAGTTGAAGCTGCAATAGACTTCCTCGAAAAAACTAAGGCAGTCAATTAATGTAAATCTACGACGGATGACAAAAGACAGATGGAATTATGAAAATTTAAACTGAAGGAAAGGCATAAATTATAGCTATAACATTTCAAAAGTGCTTTTAGAGTAAAACAACAAAACAAAACTGAGTATCATAAATCTTTTCAGTACCTTGGTGTGTTTCAAATGTAATGTGAATGTGTTTTCAAAGGCAAAATAGCAATGCAATTCAGTATCACTATTCTCACAAATGAACTATACATGCTTTCAAACGGATGATAATACTATGCGTGTATATTCTCTTACTTTAGTATAGACTATAGAGGGTACATATGGAATGATATGAAAATATTAATATCATAATAAAAAAGTCAGCTGTCAGAATATCGACACCGTGTGATAAAAGGTCTCTAACCTACAGTTACTAAGGAAATATCAAAAAATTAACGATCTACCTTAGCTCTGTCATATGTCACTTCACATTTTCCGCATTTCTCTTCATCAACCGAATAAGGAGTTTTAACTCCGAACATTGGAACCCATATTAATATTACCTGCAATGAATAAGCTTCGAATTGGTATAACCACGCTAGACCAAAGCAGTTGGAAACTAATGAATCAGAGTTAATCAGAGTTTTTTACGAGGATTGTAGTATTATATACAGGTTCCTAAAAAACTGTATCTTCGGCCCATACCTTTTTGTCCTTGGCGGTTTCCAATCTTCGGCTAAGTTCTGCTCGTAAATCATATAAAGCTGTTTCCGTAGAGGCTTTAGTTATTTCATTGTCTTTTTTGCTGGATATGGCCAGTGGTGGCTGACTAATATGGTTTAACGGAAACGACAAGTTTTTCGATCGGTAGTCTACGTTAAGGCTGGACTTAGTGTCTGCTTCGAATTCTGTAGCATTATTTCCAATTAGTCTTTCTTTATATGAGCCATAATTCATCCATTTCTTGTGACCATCACTCGTTGAAAACGAAGTTGAAGAGTACATACTTTCCCACCTCTTAACCATACTGATTTCTAATAGTGTTACAAAGACCGCTAGACAAGTAATCACTTTGCATTTTGTAGAAGTCACTCTGTTATTATCTTCGTAAATCATTTTGCCGGAAAAGCGATGTCCACTATATTTGGATGAGAATGAATTGAAAACTGAATAAATCGTTAATAATGAGGATTATTGCAAGGCAATATATTTTATCATAAAAAAGCAAAGCGATAAAACAGAGGTTACATCTCCCATTGAAATTATAACCAGTTAGTGTAACATATTCGAATACACCTAACTGACATAACAAATTTCTACATTAACTCGACTATATGCTACATAAACGGCCTTACATTTGTGCCACGGTGCTTCGTACTGAAGATTTGAAACGGTCGGATGCGTTATTATACTCATCCGTTGTAAGTATAATAGAAGGGGAATCTCACATTTCAGCGACGCATATACAACTGAACAATAGGGAGACATAGAATAAAAGATCACCATGGGTTGTGACGTACCGCCTTCCGTGTGTTTATGCACGGTTCGGTGGTCAGTATTACGCTCGCCATCGTATCTCTTATTAATATGCGCCAGTTTGCAGGTTCGAATCACACGGGCTATAATTATGTGCGAAGGATTCGCTGGATCCCTCGCCGTCGTACGGTATGTACATTTCGTACAAATCCCCCGCCACTAATGCAAAAATGTGAGATTTGAGTAAAACACCCCCGCCACGTAATATATAACAAATTAATAATTACCTAGTTAGGGTTAAGAATGATTTGAAAACTTGAATTTCCATCGCAATCTGCATTTCTGGCCTTCACCCTAACTGAATATATATTATTTATTTTTTTATTTCTGAGCGGTGGGGGGGGGGGTGTTTTATTTTGCTTTGTAAAATAGATCCTAAAACATTTTAGTTAACCGCTGGCTGTTTACGGGTTCCTGCGCCATCAACTCCGTGTATCTGAAATTAATAACTGGTTAACTATTGCCATGTCCGACAAGGGCACTAATCGGACAAGATGTGGTAGTTGGCCATATGATCAAGTCGGCTTTTCGGCTTTCCTCTCCTCCCCGGGATAAATATGATGATCCTTATCCTGTATCTACTATTGCATAGAGAAAAACTGCTGACGCGTGTGAACATATAAATTTTCATGATAGACAAAAGCACGAAATTGAATGAACGTCAACTAGTCGCTTGCTTGGTACAATTTTAGAATAACTATATTACGCTATACTCTACAAAGAATATTCAGTGTTGCAAGCAAAATTTGAACGCTAATATATTCAAATATATATGCAAGTGGGTGGCACATAAGACATTTTGAAGTAAATACTCACTTATCCAAGACGACTCGAATCCGTTTTATGAATATTTACCTAGTATTTTTTTCGTTAGCGAGAAAGCGTAGGCGTAGCCAGAATATTTTGCGCCCGGGGCAAACTATAAAATTGGCGCCCCGACCTCCACGTTTAATCATATTTTATTTTACATTTATTTGTATAAGTAAAAACAATTCAAATTTTAATGGAACATGTTATATAAAGAAGAAGCAACACTATACATAATATAGCATATGAGCATAGCATAATTTTTGCAAGCCCCATTTTGGCGCCCGGGGGCATATGTACCCCATTGCCTCCAATTTAATTCGATCGTGCAACTGTACAATATACGACCATATGCTTATTTGTCCTCTGAAGGAGTCATTTGGGATTTATTCCGCGAAGTACGTTTTATAGCAATTTCAAAACTAATTTTGCATACCGATGAACCTTCAAAATCAACCCAAAATGTCAAAAACACAAAACATAATTGAACGAATGTAATTATGACAAAATACTGCAATTCAAAACAGACAATTCCATTTAACGATAAATTTGTTGCTATTGCTATCAAATTTCTCTAAATTATACTGTCAAATTAGGGAACGTCTGAGCTTCTAATTCAGTTTTAATTTTAACAAGGCATTGTGGCGCATCGTTCTAAGCGTTAGGATTACGCTTACCACCGTAACTCTGATTACCCTGCGTGGGTTTGTGGGTTCGAATACCGTGGGGGATGAATATGAGCAAGGGGATTACCGGACTCCTCGTCGCCACATGGTTGTTCACGTAAACACTGGTTAGTTACGGCTTTCTCTGCCACCAAGTCTATGAATTTGAAACAAATATCATGCTAACTAATCCTATACCCAACTGGTAACCGGACGAGAGGCCATATCATTTAGCCGTCTTATCGACTTTTCTATTTGCTCTCGAACTCCTCCGTAATGATGTTTGCCGTTATGACGTCATAGACTCAACAAAACATCCAGCCGTTCAGAACCTAAAATGAGCGTAGGACCACTGACCAAGTTAGGTTTACGCATCAATAGGAAATAAAACTTACATAAAAATTACATTGTGCAATTGAGATATAATATTGGAATAGATTTGGCAGACGGCGGGAAGGATTTTGCGTCGGTTGAGAACCATACTGTTTTGTAGTACTGGGAATAGGGCACGCAGATTAGGAACCATAGAGTCATATACAAGAATTGTGGTTTCATGGTGGTTTAAAATCGTAGTGGTCCGATAACCACCAGATTTGTTAGATTTATAGGCATCATGGTTCGGAGATAGTTTTGCAAAAGTCAGTATTATTTCGATTAGAAACTTTTCGAATCTGAAAAAAAATGTATAAGAGAGATAAAATAGGCTTTTTTAGAACTGACCAAATAGGGGATTGGCAACGGACATTTTTGTTACTGTGCATTAAAAGTATCCTAATATTAGCCTCGCGGATGTTTTACTCTATGTAAATAGAGTTTGAAAGAGAATGTTTGACAATGCTATGTTTGTTTTATTGGTTGGTGACAGCCTATGTTTTCTCTGTGTTAAGAGTATTATCACTAACTAACTATTTCATTTGGATGCGTGTTATTCGGGTAAACGACACATATTCGCCAGATAGCAATAACGCCAGAATACTCTGTGGAATTGTAATTCAATTTCAATAGCGATCAACTTACCATTCGCAGTGTTATAAAACAGGGGTGTGCAACCTGGTGATCGTACATTTGAACCCATGTGTATATCCACGAGTTCAATCTATATGCGGATGCTAAACCCATGGGTTAGGGTTAGTATGAGTTCAACTATCCGTAAAACAAAAAAAAATCCATAGGTGCAATAGCAGTGGCGCGTCAATAGGGCCAACCGGGGCAATGCCCCGGTTGTTTTTTCGGTATAATGAAAATTATTCGAAAAATACCTCAATATCGGTCGCACAGACTGTCTACACTAGCCATATTCTCCCGACATGGTTCATTTTTCGCTCGCAAAGCCTTCGCCGAACGTCGACGGGGCGACGCCGATTTTGCCCCGGTTGCTCATTGTATATCGTATTCTCTCTTTTATCTTCCACTCGCCGCGTTTGTTTCGTTTGTTTTCTGTTTCTTTTACTAAATCATCGGGGCCGATCGGGGCTAGCCCCGAAATTATGACGACACAATGCCGACGTTTCTTACAACAACGTGTTGACATATTCACGCATTCCTTCTCGTTCGTTGATTGCTTGAAGAGTTGATAGTTTCCTCGCCTTTGTTTTTGTTGCTTGTTTCGCTATTTGAATCAGTTAGAGACCTTTAGTCCACTTGCTTTCGATTTTCCACATTCCTTTTGAGCTCCTCACTTCTTTCCGGCTTCGCATTTCTTAGCCTTAGACCTCATAATGAATAAGGTTGATGCACTACTTCGCACTCCGTTTTCGCAGCTGCCGCTGGAACAAAAATTAGAGGTACAACGTCTTGGGCCTTATCAACAAAAAAATTGTTCACTGGAACAATCCCATGACGGAGGAAAGCGTCGGCGTACATTCTGCGCAGAAACTAGGTATGAATCACGAATGGTTGTGTTACAGCGAGGACAAAAATGCACTTTTTTGTTTTCATTTGCCTACTTTTTGCTACCGCCCGTGACTCACGTTGGTGTGAATTTGGTTTTAGAGATCTTAAACATCTTTCCGAGCATGCCAGGGATCATCAATCTTCTATGGAGCATCTGGACAATGCAGTAAAATACCGAACATTCGGAAATGTTAATATTGCAGCACAGTTGGATGAAGGACGCGCGGTTTCTATTCGTCGGCACAACCAAAACGCCGAGAAAAACCGCCATGTTCTCGGTCGATTGATAGATGTTTTGAAGTTCATTGGTTGTCACGAGCTGTCCCTCCGTGGGCACGATGAACGGGCTGGCTCTTCTAATAGAGGGGTATTTTTGGATATGGTGGAATACACCGCATCCCTAGATACAGTATTGAGAGATCATCTGGATGCCGCAACTGTTTCGAAAGGAACATCTAAGGATATCCAAAATGATTTGCTCGACTCAATGTATAAAATTTATTTACAACATTTGGCTCTGGAAACTGAGAATTGCCAGTTCCTTTCGATTCAGTCTGACGAGACAACTGACATCACGTGCGTTTCCCAACTGGCTGTGATTTTTCGGTTTGTGAAAGATGGTAAACCTACCGAGAGATTTCACAGCTTTGTACCAATTGTTGATCGCACGGCTTGCGGGATATCGGCTGTACTGAAAGAAGTGTTACAGCCTTACAACGCGAAGTCAAAATTGATAGCTCAAACTTATGACGGCGCGGCAGTCATGAGTGGGTCGAAACATGGTGTTCAAGTTTATATAAAAGAAGATTTTCCTCATGCGCATTTTTTACATTGTTATGCAGACCAATTTAACCTCGTTATTAAAAATATGTGTCTTGATACCCCTCTCGTCCGTATATTTTTTGCAAATGTTTCGGGGTTTTCTTCATTTTTTCCGTTTCGCCGAAGCGCTCTGACATCCTTCGCCAGATATGTAGCCGCCGTCTCCCAGCTTGTGCACCAACACGTTGGAACTTCCAATCACGCGTGGTGCAGGGCGTGTCCGAAATTAGGTCTGAGTCATTGAGTGTTCCAATGGCATTCAGAGCTCTCCGGTTTGGGACGAACGCTCTGTGAGGGAGGCGGCAGGTCTAAAGCGTCTGCTAGAAGATGGTGAGTTTTCATTTTTTCTCGCTTTTTTCTCCACAATATTCTATCACGTGGATGTATTATACGGCGCATTGCAGTCAAGGCTAATGGATGGAGCGTCTGTGCAGTCGTGTATTTCAGACTTCTGCGATGCTGTATCTCGTATCCGGGAAACAATAAAATACGACGACACATGGAGTGCTTCTTTACGCCGCGGGCAAACAACGCAGCGTTTGATTTTGTCTGCAAAGGAATGCTGTGACATTCTGGTGAATCAAATAGGCGATCGTCTGCGCACTGAACACCTTGCCGCGTTCTCTTTGATGAACCCCAAAAATTTTTCAAATTTTGCACGTCAATTTCCCATCCATTTGTTGGCTACTGTCTCCAAATTTTACCCCATGATAAACGTGGGTAAATTGGAAAATGAATTGCGATGTATATACACCAATCAAACTTTTTTGAACATCACATCAACTTGCGCGCTCTATGGGTTCCTCCTAGATAACACTCTAGTAACTACCTTTGCGGCGTCTGCAAAATTTCTGGACATCATTTTGACGACGCCCATTTCTTCCGCCGACGCAGAGCGAACATTCAGCACGCTGAAGCGTATTAAAACGTATCTCAGAAACACAATGAAGCAAGATAGATTAAATTCCTTGGCTGTTTTATCCATTCACAGAGACGTTATTTCTGGGATGCATGACTTTAATCAGCGCGTTATTGAGCATTTTGCTTCCAAGAAACCGCGGCGTGTTGCATATATGTTCAAGCAGTAGAAGTCTAGCAGCATATATATCTATGAGTGAGCGACGCATGTCCTTATCTTTGCATTACCTTTCCTTTCTTCATAGTAACGTTTTAAACCTTATTTTAGGTTTTGTCTGCTTTCCCGAAGTTTCTGTTAATATGTCATTGTATTTATCTGGGTAAATATTGCCTTTCCTTTTGAAAGAGGTTTCAAAATAAACTATGTCTATATTTATTAATCTCTTGACTTGGACCGGTTTTAAAGACACTTTCTTATCGTTAAAAATTGTCGCTTTTGCCGATTGGTTGTTACCGATGGAATGGTTTTTATACTCATAAAATGATGGGAGAACTTACAGCGCTCATCCTGTCCCCGTAGATGGGGGTGACTTGGTCCCGCAGTAGCTTGCCCCGGTTATCAAAATGACCACGCGCCGCCACTGTGCAATAGCATACAGGTGCAATTGTCATGGGTTCAAATGTACGTGGGTTCAAATGTAATGAAACCGGTCAACCTATATTGCAGGAGGGCCAGATACAAATAACTGGATGAAGCTGCGGACCGCACCTTTATTTAAGATAGCCTTCATAATAGTTGCAGGCACAAAAAATTGTTTCTTTTTGTTCTTGATATTACGGCATTGTTAAGAGTCTTTGCAGAAATAGTTAGTTGAAACGCATACATTTTCAAAGAAAGGAAATAAGTCCCACTAAGGTTATTTTGTGCTGCGAAGAGCACGTGGTAATGAAAAACACAACAACAGTGATGAAGAAAAATATGCAATTCAAGAGTCCTGCTGCACACTAACACAAATATAGTTCTGTAACGTTTCGTCTGACCAAAATCAGACTTCCTCAGACAAGCAGTTTACAACAATGACAATTGAAATAGATTTGTGTTAGTGTGCAGCAGGACTCTTGAATTGCATATTATGGTATTTTATTCCTGCTACAACATGCTTGCATTACATGCATACGGATCCACTAGCGCAAAGGCATAGAGAAAGGATTGGGAGTTAGTCTCGCGCAACCTCTACTGATAGTGATGAAGAAACAGCGAAAAATTTAATAATGATTAGTCTATTATGTAAACATAAACAAATGAAGGTAACAACCAGCAAGAAAATGTTTTACACACCTGAACTTTCAAATAGTCTAACTAAGAGATTTTCTTAGCTATTGAAAAGTTACTGACAGTTGTAACCATCAAGTTAGAGATTTTTTTGGAGCTTGTTTGAACGAATTGTATCAGGAAGCTTATTTCATAGTTTCACACCCATGAATTAGAGAGTCAGCTTTGTGAACGACTGGAAGAAAGCGGGTTTATAAGAGTTTGTAATATTTAATACCTTGTATTTAGCGAATGACTATCTAAATAATTGAAGATATAAAGCGGAAAAGTACGCATGATGAATAATTTAAGCTATAGCAGATACTCGCAGTAATTGTATTGTACATATTATTCCCTAGCGCATAAGCTTCTATCCCGGTGGAGTGGGAATGGAATTCGATAGCTTATTCATACCAGGCGCTCCTCGGTTGCTAAGGATAACGAAGTTCTTGCTACTGTTACTCAGATTAGTGTTTAACCGTGATATACGTCACCGATTGAGGACGAATATCGTGTAGTGGCAGAACCGATGCTATAGCGCATGATCCGCTTCGTTGCACTGTGTAAGCGTCCGTATGCCCGCCAGTGTGCATTGTATAACCTAATGAATGGATACGTGATTTAAATTGTTTCAATAATAGTACTGAGCGGTAATTATAAAAAAGACAGAGGTATGTATTGTATAGCCTAATGAAGAGATAGTTTATAAACGTATATAATACTACTAGACGATAATTATGTAAAGACAGCTCACAGTCCCTACGTTTGCTGCCCGTCACATTTACATTTTTATGTGCGATCGATGCACATGACTTTCTTTCACTTACAGGATAAAACGTTAGCTTAATTGAAGGTCTCGACGAACAAAATGTTCCGCAAATTATAGCGGGCATGGAGTTGGATTTCACCGTGAGTTTACGTCGATTTAGGTTCGCTGTATTGTTGCTGATCGTATTTGTTTTAGTGTATATATAGTTAACGTCCCCACTGAGGTAACTTTTTTTAAGCCTTCTCACTGGTACCGAGGACGTACCACTTTCATACCAAAACATCATAACGACTGGATAATGCATTTATTCGATAGTTCACGGGATGAATTGGAAATGAGGATATTGAACGCTACAGATATCAAGGTAAGGATCTCATTGGAGCGTAATATTCCTTGTGGTAAATTGGTCTTCGCAAAAGTATATATATGATTAACATTCTATTATCCAATCTCAAGGTATGCTAATCTATACTAGGAGTGTAAGCGTGCGAACCCAGTCAGAATCGAAAGTAAAGTCATGGGGAATTTCTCATATATATATATATACCGTCGAGAACATCATATAATAGCTAATTATCATTCAAAGGCAACAACATCGTCATTGAACGCAAACAGTTTTTTATTTGGTGAACAAACATATCAAATCGACTTGGCTTGACGTTGTTAGGGTGTAGAACTTGTTACCTATCGATCTTTAGATCGGTAAGTATGTTGACAGGTATTTGTCTGTTAGATGCACGCCATATCTCACAAAGGCGCGGTTGAATGTGCTCCAAATTTTGCATGTGCATTTATCATATCTCGGACCAGAAGCCTATTGATTTTGGATGAATTTTATGTCGTATAATTAGCGAGTTAATAATTAATTAGTGATGGGACACGAGGTGTCACTATAGAGTCATGACTCGAAACCGCAGTTTCGATCGATAAGTCTTCGGTCTCCGACTGATATTCTCGTTTATATATTCATTCTGTGCACCAAAAAAAATTTGGCGTTGGCAGACGATTCTATATTTTTATCTGAGTTGTAGTTAACATTGTATCAATATTAGATCTTGTCATCCAATATGGTACGATATATATTTAGAAAATAAATATACATTTTAAGAAGCAGGAAGCTCTTCAGCTATACGTGTTTAACAACATGGTGACTATATGGCAACGACGTTCTGCGATCGGTAAAAAGAGAATGAATTGTCTTGTGCAGAGTGCAGACAGGACCTAGCCGATGAAATGAGCTCTTGTCAAGTAACTCCTCATTTGAAGAGACGTTTTGTGCCTTTATTTTAGTCAAAACTCTCTATTTTAGGCGTTGGCCATGTGACAACAGCGACGAACCGCAGAGTTGACTTACTGCCGCGCGATCGAGTTTTTTTTTTATCTGGGCACGCGGTCCCAACTTTTTTGACGGCCTGCCGCACGCTACAAGTAATAAATTTATCATATCATGAGTGTAGAAAAAAGGTGCCCGAAGTAAACGGAGAGCAAACGTATTTCCTTACCCGCAACAACGTTAAAACACAGTGTCGGGTTTGTTTTCAAGTAATATCTGTCACCAAAGAATATGTTTTAAGCCACATTACAAAACCAACACGAGAAAAGATACCGAAAATACCACGCTATTTCACGCATTTCTTAATTACTTTTGTTTAATTTTTCAATAGTGAATATATCACAATTCGCCATACAAACACAATAGAAATATGAAGCGTACTCCTATAAAAATAATATCACGGAAATACCTAATGAGCAAGTTACCTGTTGGGAAATATACTGGTGTCTTATAGGTAATTGGGAACTAAGGGGATTCAAAATTTGAGGAGCACGTTTCGTTTTGTATCGAATTCCCAGACAACAGGCTCCTTCATTTCAGAAACCATGCCGTAGCTTTAGTTCTATAATGGTACGTCATATTTACTAATGTATGTCACCACATAAACTACATTAACATGACACGCTTTACAAAAATTGATACATAATTCTCGATTTCGAAAAAACAAATATAAAGCCGTTCGTAAGCTCGGTGCACTTTATACATTTGCTGAAGTCTAGAGCCCAAAACATAAAACGCGTTTCGCTGAATATCAGGACATGACGAAAACGGATTGAGTGCGGAAACCCTGAATCCCACCACTGGTGATGGGAAATATTCGAAATGTTTATTCTTCAACTGTTGATATAGTTTTCCACATGTTTCACAACCATATTAACACATATTTGCAACGATTACCAATATATTTATTATTCCATTGCATGTATATTTCAGATAATACTGGTGTGGATTCCAATGTTTGGTATGAAGTTACCACGCAAAATCGACGCAAACAAATGTGGTAATTGTGAAATAACATACGACAGAGAAAAGGTGAGCTTATCCGATCCAAAAATTGATAATTTTTTTTTCAGCAGGGCTAGGTTCAAGACTAACATTCGTGTCGTGAATTAAGTAAAGCAACAAATAATTCGAGTCTCCAGTAAAGTCGAGTCCCAGTAAATCTCAAACCTCGAGACGAGTCACTGCATTTCCGAGTCCTAAGTTAAGTCGAGTCGCTGTCAAGTCGATTTCGGTTCGTTGTAGATTTCATAAACTAGAGTAGAATGGGTGAATATGAGTCGTATAGACACCTAGAACTCTAGTCTTGTCTTTATCCTAAAAATTTTCCTAAAACAGACTACGATTTTGTTATATAGTTCTCATCACACCTCTCCTTGCTTTATGCGGTTTTGCAAATTCGGATGTCATGGGGATAATCAACTATATGAGAAGCTGGTTGGACTTTTCATCGTCATAGCGTTATCTATCCGCTTATCCATCACCATCAAGCCTATTCACCTGCGATAAATAACTGGCTATCACCATACACTACAACAAGGGTCACCAAACTACGGCCCGAGGGCCAGATGAGGCCCGTGGCGTCCTTTCATCTGGCCCGCGATAACACGAAAAAAAAAACATTTATTTCAAGAAATGTTTCCCCGAGCATCGACTTCTTTGTTTATTTCGTAACATTGGCCAGTCAGCAAAAAGTAACGTAACAATAGGATTTTTCGCATCCGCTCATACACTTTTGTCACTCAGACAGATTTTTAGTCGTGGTTGTAAACAATACACCGTTTTCGTGATTTTGAATGCTATTCGTTAGTTTTTGGTTATGTTTCGAAAATGTAAGTATGAATCAAGTCCATCATCATTTTGCCTTCTTAGGAGTTATAGTTTAATTGCAGTAGTTTGCAAAAAATGGTCTATAAATACATAGCTGTGATAAAATAGGCTAAAATTCACTACTGGTACGCAACGTTTTCTGCGAAGAATGCACTCGTACACTCGATACCCGTGTTCTCGGCGAAACTGTTGCTATGTACGTTTTTGTGCTAAAACAAAAGAGCAACGCTCAAATATATGGACGCGTAGACAAGAGCGAATCCATCCTTACCGGTACCTTTGACGCTACTTGTACCCTCAATAAAGTTCTAGATTTCCAGTAGCAAGATTTTTGCAGAATCAAAACGTACAGTCAGTCATCACGCGGACTAAAATACGTGTTCCCGTGGATAAAAATAATACAGCGAAATTTTGGACGAAATATCGAATTTAGAATTCATACAAAATTCAGAAATGAATAAAAGTAATAGTCTTCTGGAGAAAAATTCCATCATCAACCACTAAAAATGTCGATGCAATTGGTGGAGTAATCGAAGACAAAAGCGACTTTTTAATAACTATGTCAAAGAATAAGCATAAGAACAACAACAAATATACCAAAACGATCGTTATGTCCACTACGTAAGCATTTTCGCGGCCACTCCGACACTTTTCTCTTGGAAAGATTTTAAACATAGCCTGTAATCATTATTGGCTTGCTTACGTGGATTTTTAGTTTTTGTCGCATTTCCGAATATTATGTATAAATCAAATAATTCAATGATTTTATTAATTTCTAGAGTATTTCAATTTTGTTCCAATAATCGAAAATAGTCCCGAAATATTTGGCGATCATCTCAAGCAGCTACTGCACCTTGCATCCTCCACGATTACGACCCGCTTTGACAAACTTATTAGAAATCAAAGCCAAATTAAATGGCTATTAGTCTGGTGTGGGCAAAATTGAATCTTTTTTCGAATTTGGAAATTAATGGAAACATTGAAAAGTCGGCAATAAAGCGTTTTTTACTGGTTAAGGGTTAATTTCATCATAATCGCTGATTGTCTTCGTCACCGCGATCCTTTCGGCGGCGATATCTTAAAGTTCCCATTCTCTATTTCTTGTACTTTCTCGTTTTTTTGCAAGAATAAGGGGTCGCCGGATATCGGAGTATCATTTTTTCAGTATACCCTTGCGTTCACATCAGCGACAGCTGTTGAAGACATTAAGGGCTGATTTCAAAACCAAATTAATTTTATTCTGAGTTTTATCCTCTGCCTTGGATTTCATCTTCCTTATCACCGCTTGTAAATTAACCGTGTCTGTTTAAAGTGAACAGTAATCGAGATGCAGATATTTATCAAAATGATAATTGAGTTTCTCATGCTTTTCTATAGTTAGTGTTCGTGTTATTTTAGTATTAGATAGATAAACCTAGCGAACTTACGATTGCATGAATCCTGAATGTTGATTTAAAATAGCGATTAAATAAATTGGCAATAAAGGCATTTCTAGTCCTTTGTACCTAGTAAAGGGTCATACGCTAATTATACCTAATTCCTTCAAGTTTTAACATTTTTTTCAACAAAACAACACCCCGATGATTATTATAGCTAAAATACTTACTGAGTAATGCTCAATTTTCTTTACGGAATTTGCAAATTCAGCACTTCACTTAATTTTTGATTATGTGATGCCTTGATGCTTAGTTATTACTGCCCAAATGCTTCAAAATTTAACAATTGTAATCATTTTCAATGATAATAGACGAATCAGTGTACATTGTTACAACGAAATTTTCGATTGATTTTACGTTCTACTCTTGGCTCAACGGCCATGCATGGTCGAGTAAAATGTTTACATATTCGAAACATTACTTGGCTAAGGATGGAAGGGATCACTAAAGAGCTAATACAAAGTGCTTTAAAGGGAGTAGGACGTGACATTTCTTATCTGGTTACAACTCAATGAATGTTTTTCATACAAGTAACTCATACCAACTTTTGCAAAAACTTTTGGTCATTTTTAAATCCATGCTATTTATATAACTAGAGTTTTCTAACGACCTAAAATCGCCTTTTTCACAATGAAACACCGAAAAGTCATTTTAACATTTAATTTTAATCAGCTTTATGTTCGGTAATGCAAGAAATGGCTAATGACATGTCACCAAGCATGCGGAGTTTAAAATCTGGGAAATTTATTTTAAATACCTATTCTGGTTTGACGTTTCTAAATTTGCATAACGGTCGGTACATTTTTTTTTACAAAATATGGAATTGAAACGATACGTGCAAAGATGAGCATATAACACCATAACGCAAAGACAACGACTTTTCAAATTTGTCTTTTTTTGCGATAGCGAGCGCCGTTGGCAAATCTCGCACAATTCATGATTGAGTTGGAGGCGCACGAGTTCGGTGTCCAAGCAGAGCGGCGCAGGTCACGTGGTACCGGATATTCGAATACATAGTAAAATGCAATTCAAATATTTTATGGAACGAATATTTTGCCCAGCCTTAGTTGTTACGTGTGTTGTTGTTACGATGACTTGGTATTTTAAATATGCGTTTAAGGTTTGTTGCAATTTTACCTTGCGTTGTTTGTGTGCGGCTCTTCATAACTTTGAGGTTTGAAATGCGGCTCTGGGAATAAAAAAGTTTGAGAACCACTGCTCTAGAGTCTAAACTGACAAACGATGACAATCCTATAAAAACTTCCGCAGTATGCGGAGTAGTATGATAAATTTTATTCGCAATGATAACAGTGGCATCAAAATGCTTAATTTGTTCTAATTCTAAGCAAGCGAGGAATCGCGTTTGGAGGAAATTGTAAATTAGATACTGAAGTTTGAGCAGTCATGTAACATTCATAGTTTGAGAATATTTATTTTTCGCTGTTTGGATAATACATGAATACTTGGCACGATTTCTCGAAGAACTTTCAACATTTACGACTAAAAATTAGACACGCCCTTTATCTGAATTGTATGATTTAAATAGATTCTAAATAAATAATGAAACATTTACTCCGGGTAAAATTAAATAATCAAATTATCAACTTAACTAGAACATAAAAAATACAAATTAATATGTATTCACAAGCTATCTTAGTTGCAGCGGTGGATTTTTTTCTATGTGTGTGTGCAGTTGTCTCATTATCTGAATATTCAGTGCCCGTTCGTTTACTGTAGGACCTTATTACCGGTCAGTTGATCACGATCTATTTTGAAGATTTTAGTCGCAAGCAGGTTGGCCAGCCCTGATATATAGTACTGTAATCTCTCGCGTACTGTTACTATTTTACAAGTCGCATTACCTTTTGTACTGCTTACATGCGGATATTCATGACAGCAATGTTTTGCTAACAGCTAACCTCAGGATATTTGTCTAGAAATCTTGTATATATTCGGTTTCTCGATCTATATTCTGCGATATAGAATTTAATATTCAAGACTGTAGAATTTATTATTTGGTTTCTGCGAGACTAACTACTTATCCTTCTTCTATTCTTTTGTGCCGGCGGATCTGTATGCATATATTGCAAGGATGCTGCTAATTGATTCAAGAGTCTTGCTGCACATAACACCGACACACGTCAGACATTCATAGTTGAACTATGTATGTCTGAAGAAGTCTGACCTTGGTCTGACTGGAGCAGTTCGCCCATGTCAATGTAGATGAAGAAGCAGCATTTGTAACCAATATTATTCATGTTTGTTACATCCTCATCTTAATATGTAACCATTATTTCACTTTGTATATATCAATTCATTCGAATACTGTAAATATGGATAATAAATGACTGCGTGGTACAGAAACAAGTAGGATTTTTGTCATTCTTAAATGAAAAATGTAGCATTTTTAGTCTCCTAATTTGCATTTTCTATATATGCAGATAGACGATGAAAGAACTGGAGCGGTTGTTTTCCACTTCGATGGAATCAGAGACGATGATTTGCCCCCGACAAGGTAAGGAATGTAACACCATAATTACACCACTGTGTGTAATCATGAAAAATCATGTTATTGGGTTTTATTTCGGCCATATTCAGGACTGATGGATACAATCAAGTTGCAGAATGACGTATCAAGTCCATAGGCACATTTTTCACAGCGCGCAAATATGCCGTCACGTGATTACGCATTAGAAATAAATTTATAGCCGGTCACAACTAAAATATTGAACCCATGGGAGATTATTTAGTCTTAAGGACATAACAATATCTTTTCCAAACTCGAAAGTTTTTTATACTCGAAAGTTGAAAACTGATACAAATGACTTATCGCACCTTTTATAAGCGTGGCGATATGTTATATATACATCCTCTCTTAACACACAGTGTTATTTTTACCAACTTCATTTCAGAAACCTTAGTCAACTTTACATATACTGGGTCCTGGAATCGACTGCAACCCTTCGCGTCACCGGAGAAGATTCTTTAGAGTTCGAGGACAATTTCCATTTCAATGCAACTATGACATACAGGTTAGAGTTATTGGACACGAAATTAACTTATAGATCGTCTTTCTCAACAACTAATCGACTTTATAGTTTCACTATACAAGGTTTTATATGTCCTGTGCACACTTTCATATGACATTCAATATGTTTTTTTTAACATTCGTCTGGAATATTTATTGACATCGGAGTGAACATATTAAATATTTGACCTTCCAACTCAACAACAAAAGTCACCTCAACAAAAACAATTTTACAGCAACGATCCATATGTATACCTCGTGTCCAATAAAAATTACAAATACATACGTGGAAGTTTGTTTAACAATATTATAAGTTCAAAGCACCACTTGTTATAGGTTTTATATCTTTATTTCCCTTGTTGGGTTAACAAGAATGTTAGTACGCGACAGGCACCAGCAAGATACCCAAGTAGTTGTGCACGTCTACTGGACTTGTGCATATTTCTCGCAGAGAAGGTAATTTGAGCGTCGGGTTACATTCAAATTGTTCATTGTTTAGCTAAGACTCCGTGTTAACCGAATTAATGATAAAATGCAGTTCCCAAACTTCACTAATTTTCGTAAAATGAAAAACCGCATTTATTCGCGACTCAACAATAACAAACATCAACATAATATTGATCAAGCTTTTCAGTTAAATGCTGAAGAGTCAAGATGCGTAATGATGGTATCTTGCATATCGACGTTGCTTTCTGAACTATATGCCTTGAGCTGGGGAATGTCATCACGTAACTTTTCCATAGATTGTTATTTGTAGTAATCTGTAATATTTGCGCTGTGATCGATGACAGTGGTGAATTAAGCACCTTGCATGCGATTCATTATGCGAATTCGGCAACTTTTCTTGACTGATTTTTTTCGGCTAAAGAAGTATGTTTCTGCTCGGTTAATGCGTGATAATCTTTTGTTGCAGTTCAACGACTCGGATAAAAACTTGACCTCGTGATAGAAAGTTGATTAAGAGGTCATGCTTTGAAGTAGATCACGCATTTTTAACAGTTTCTCGTGTTGCAACTCATCTGGCATTTTTTGTCGATAATGCTCGCAATGCAAAGACAATGCGTCTATTTTATCTCTAGGACATTATCTTCATAAGGTTCCAAAATTTAGATTTGATATCAGTAATTCAACGCTGACTCATAGGTACATATCCCCGCTAAATGTCCATATTCCTAGGATTGAATGTTTGACAAAGAATGTGTCGAGTCATTCGAAGTAGTCATGTTTTTTGGTTAAAAAGCTCCAAATCGGCACAAATTTTACCTGTCAGCATTCAAATCCTTAGGCCTTGTGTGAGCCGTATTTCATGTTCAGCAGAAGTTTGTGAACCACTTATACGGAGCATAAAATCGTGATTTGACAGTCTATGTAGCTTGTTCACTACTGTTGTCACTCGTCGTAACTGAACATAAGTTTCTTAAAATTTGAAATGTCTTCCTGGAATGTGAAATAATAAAAAAAAAATTCTGCTATAGGAATTTGTACTGTCCAACCCATTACTCATTAATAACCCGCAATCAACAGTAAATATATCTACAATGTGCAGTACAGATGAAACTATTGTGTACATAATTACTTAAGTATCACTTTAATAATATGTACATTCTTCTGCGAACTTGAGGGTAATACTTTTCGATCGCTCTGATTAATTTATTAAAATGAGGTCCGCTACAACGTGTTATGGTCTAATTTGTAACCCAGAGAAATAACTCTACCTGCAAGATCGCATTATCACGATGAAATATACAAACACTCACTCATTATAGAATAGGAAATTCAATTCCGTTAAGCTTGAAAACTTTTTATTTTTTCACAGAAGGGACTCCGATTTCTATCAAAGTTATGAACACAAATATGGTGTGACAAGAATTATGGAAGAAAATACGCTCACGCTAGAGGAATTGCTTGCGATGAAAACTAAACTTTCAGTCGCAATCGTCTCAAACTGTGGCTCTACTGCTGGAGCGCGTACTCGAATGAGATTGTTGAAGACTATAATACGATTAGGATTTAAACTGGATGGATTCGGTGCATGCTTTTGGGGAAGTGGCAAGTTTGCAAATGGTAAAAGCCGAGGCGAACCTGAATTCTTTGCGGAAGTCAGAAAATACAAATTTTACTTTTCTTTTGAGAATTCCTATCACTGTAAAGACTACATTACTGAGAAGTTTTTCAACAACGCTCTCAGATCCTTTACTGTTCCTGTTGTCTGGGGTGCGACGAGAGAGGATTATGAAGCAGTCGCACCACCTGGATCATTTATATTTGTTGAAGACTTTGATTCTATGAAGGCTTTAGTGGATTATCTTAATTATTTAGACAAGAACGACACGGCATATTTAGAATACCTCAAGTAAGTAGACCATACTTGACACTGTTAACACATTTAATTCGCGCATTTTTACCGACAAACTAAAACTTCAAAAAACTCGACTTTTCTCAATTTAATCCCTGCATATCATTAATTGCATTTTAGTTTGTCTCGCCCTTATTTACATTAGTTTGCCTAGATTTTTTCATTCACATTGTTAATCCAGTGTTAATTTTTTGTGGGAATTAAATGACTGGTATATTCTGCAACTATATACAACAATTGTACGTTTGCAGGTGGGTGACAATAAAGCCAAGAGACATTCCTAACTACGGAAGAGCAAGGGGTTGGTGTTCAATATGCAGAGCGTTACATGGAATCAACATTGACGATATTTACAGTCCAAAATACAACGCGCGTAATCCAATTAGACCATTATTTACAGACGGCGTCGCAACGAGGACTGTCGAGCATTTGAAAGACTGGTATTATGGGGAAGATAATCCCGAGTGTTTTTCAAAGTATTGACGACCAAAGAATCAGCGGAATTCGGCCTTATATATTTCAGGATAAGCGTACATTTTTTGATTAGACACTGACCTTTTATATTCTATGCAACAGGCATCATTACCTGTTTAATTTTGCCGCTATTGAATGCTTTTCATCTCGGATAAAATATTGAGCAAAAACCTTACCTATCTTTTATTGACATACACCAGTATTTGCAATACTTTATTAAACGCGACTGCAACTTTGTTAAGATTAATTAAACGATTACACAGCACAGCGCACGAGACACGAGAATCAGCATACACTCCTGGCTAACGGACAATGACGTCAGAATTGAGTGTTATATTTGCGTTATAATATTTTTATTTATTTCTAGTGGATATGATATTGTTTCAATTCCTCGATGAGCATAATGTTCCCCCAATGTCGCATGATTTTCAATTATTCAGTTGGAAGTTTTGTAAGATGGGAAACATTGATACAAGTTTTTAATGAGGTAACATTTAGTCAATCATATCAGAAATTTTTACCGATCCGCAGTGACGACATTTCATGAGTTACATTTAATGCAAAAGCATGGATGCGACAGAAAAATACAACGAATCCCGAGACCAGTAGCAAAGATATTTTTCACTTTTTCATTTTAAAGTAACGATAAGAAAGATCAAAGCCGACACGGAAGATAATAATCAAAATAATGTTAATTTGGAGATGGGGATTACAAATTCATTTCTATAATTTCCCTGGCGTTTCGTCGACAATGATCGCACAGTAGTTTTCGAATTTGTCAAACAGAACGCGCAGTTCCGCAATAAATTTAAAAAAAAATTAAGCATGAGAAATTGACTCAAAACTCAAATACCCTCAGAGAGAAGAAAACCAGAAATCGAAAGTTTAATGGAAGATGTGAGTCTAGCTTTCTGTGTAGATGATTTTGTAACTTTCGGAAGGGTGATGAAAGTAGGTTTTGATCCTTCTCTAGAAACAATAGCAATGTTTCGTTTCATTTTGAATACATGCTCATTCTTCTGGTTTTGACGATAGGATATTCTTCAAATGTTTTTGACTATTTAGAAGAAAGGGGAAAGTTTACATTCGTAGTTGAGTATTAGTGGTTGGAGATCTTCGACAACGCGCCCCTAATAAACAAGTCCTGTCACGAACTAAACGATTTGTTTCTGAACCAGTTACTAGTGTTAAGTGCTGTCCTAATGAAATTCAACTAGGAATCTGTGTAGTTTGTTCAAAACAGTCAACACGATGGAACTTGGAATAGAATCAGGAACATGGCATCTGCTGAAACAATGAACATAAACTAAATATTTCATACGGCAAGGCAACCCAATTTTGCAGTATTATAATATCACAACTATCTATATTTCAAATCAATCAGAACGATATAGATTAAAAACATACAAAATCCAACAGTATATACATACCTAATGTTTTGACTCCACAAGCAAAACAATCGGACGAAATATGCTCTGAAGTAAATAAAATCCAAGCTTTATAACTAAAATATTAAAGCAGTAGTTACTGTGCTCATTTGACTGCCCTAAATTATATTTGTATTACACTTGAGAACCTCACTTCTTAAAGAATTTGTAAATTTACAAATAGTTATTTCCAACAGATACATAACGAGTACTATCAACAATACAGAACCTGTAAACACTGATTCACACCGAATATTGGCCTAGACTGAGACAAGACATCCAAACATTTCGCTTCCAATTATAGCAGTTATACATAATTATGAATAGGTACTGGTTGTGCCGAGCTTGATAGGGTAGATCAGGGTGGTCCAACCCGCGGCCCGAGCACACATTCCTTGCGCCCCGCAGAACAATTTTAGCGTGTACTATACCATTGGTAGATATGTGTTTTTGTTGGCAGAATATTTTTGAGTTATTTTTAAACTATTCCAACTGGGATTGGCCTTTTTCCTTATCCCGATGTCCGGATTGATGTTTGTTAAAATCGCGGAATTTCAATGTTGTATCCATAAACGTCAA